GGTCTTAACATATAAACCTCTGTATAGTTTCAGACCTTGATGCAAATGTCTCCCTTGAAGATCAACTACTTGTCACACCTAGTCATTCCAAGCCTTGTTGTTTGGAATGGCCACATCGAGAGAAGGCAAGGAAATCCTTGACTATGAATCAGGCCTTCTTGGTGGTGGCCCCTTCACTTGGCCTCCCACCAGATATAGGAAAGCTCCCATCCTTCCAGACTGTCAAGAAATTATTTAAATTGGCTTTGTTTAAAGAGGTCTTCAAGGACATTCTCCCTCCCAGGTAGCAGTTTGACTCCTGTTTTAGTTACATCATAGGAAAATGTTGCCACTACTTATGATTAATTCCATTATTTAGTTATTCACATAGGTTACTGTTTGAGTTTGCTATACCGTATGTTCATGTCTTCTTATTTGGGAGGGGTTAGTTTCTGAGGGTTTGGTTTTTGGTTAATCAGGGGAAACTCTGGCATTAGGTTTTGTTGGCGTAGACATTTTTCCACATGTTTCAGTCCAAAATGAAAGCAAATATTATGAATAAAACCTTATCTGAGACTACATGTGAAGTACCAGTGATCTGTTTGCTGAACTGGTCCAAAATCATACACTAGAAAGGTAATTTGCAGCAAAGAATTGGCATGGAGGAGTGGTTGGCTAAGCTATCTCTCATAAACTAGTTATCTCTGGAAATTCTTCTGCCAGCTTTTGCCTCCCTGCCATGATTCCAGATTTAATTCTAGCATAAAAGGTAGGAGAAAAGCAGGGGGGGGGAAAGCAAAGTGTGCTGCTTATATACCACCCCATAGTGCTTCAAGCACTCTCTGGGTGGTTTACAAGTTAATTATGCAGGCTACACATTGAAGACAGGTGAATAATCAAGCACTATAACCTCTCTATCACTTTTCAGAAGTAAATTGCCTTTTCAAACTTTTCTTCAATGAGGACAGAGTAGACTATGTCTAGATGGGCGGCATATAAATAAATAAATAAATAAATAAACAAACAAATCCAGTCTGAGACATAGATAAACCTAAAAAGTTTGAGTTGGGCAATACCTTTATTGGGTTGCTAAAATGTTACAAACAAGACAAGCTTTTGAGCTCCATGTATGAATGGAAGAGAAATATGCCCGTATGTGCAGAGAGATACCTGTTTAACTTGTACAAGAAGAATTTAGATGCAGTAAGGGAAGGGTCTACCATCCCCATTCTTGTGTTGAGAAAGAGTAACCTGCAGTCTGATGGCCTTCACATATGTAGAATGTCTTGTCACCTTTATTTAAAGAACAAATAGACATAGTCAGTTCTTAGTAGTGATATGCATCAAATTTCATTGAAATCCTGACAGAACTGGAGCCCCCTTTAGGTGTTTTTCAGGGGAAAATGGGCTTTTTCCTCAAAGCTAACAAAACTGAAGCTCAGGATCTGTACTTCAGGATAGTGGGCAATCTGTTATCAAAGATAGTTTCTGTTTTGTAGAAAATATCCTGGGTGGGGCAGGAATCAGGTAGTGGGGTTATGCAGCTGTCAGATCTGACTTCTAATCCTAGTGTACATTTTTATGACAGTATCTCCTGAGGGACTGTGTTCTGCAGACAGAATTATGACATTCATAAAAAGTTTCCAGCTCCCTCTTTTCTGACTATAAGAACTCCTTAAAACTTGTCTTAGAGTATTGCAGCTCCCTAGCTCCTGCACATACTCATAAATCTGCCTTCTATAATGCATTGGCATGCTGCTTAAAGTGGGCCAAATGCACCTAGATCCATATCCATACTGAAAACATCAACTTTTACCATGACTAGGAGTAAGGAAGTCTCAGGCAAGGGTGGCCTATTATTCAAAAACACCAGGCACAGTCAATCAAAGTTATAAAAACATGACTAGTATTAACTAACAGATATAAGTTTTAACCAAAAACTTAAGTGTTTGTTAAATATCGGCGCAGTATGTATGCTCTTCCTAGTATTATTCCCAAAGTCCCAATGACTACAAGGATCACTGAAGTGTGTTTCATCCACAAGCGAGATGTTTCCATTACCAGATCTCTGTATTTTGTTAATTTTTCCAATTCTTTAGCTTCAACTCTGGCATCCCCTGGAATTGCAATGTCAATGATCCAGACCTTTTTTCATTCTATTACTATTATGTCTGGTGTTTATGTTCGAGATGTCTATCAGTTTGGATCTGGAAATCCCATTTTCTGACACCTTCTCTACCTGATGTTCCCATGGGTTTTTGGAGGCTGCCAAATTATATTTGTTGCATAATGACCAGAACATAAATTTTGCCACTCTATTATACCTGATGTTCCCATGGGTTTTTGGAGGCTGCTAAGTTATATTTTTTTTGCATAATGACCAGAACACAAATTTTGCCATTCTGTTATACCTAATTTTGTAATCTGTGCCACCTTTGGACATTCACAGATGAGATGTGACACATTTTCATATTTTTCTTGGCAGAGTCTACATGTGCTGTTAGCACTAACTCCTTGGATCTAAGCTTTCATCACATTGGTTTGGAGTGTTTGTTCTTGTGCAGCCAAAATCAACCCTTCAGTTTCTTTCTTGATGATCCCCAGTTTTAGCCATGCCCATATTGAATTAATGTCATGCCTTCCATCAATATTTCTCAGACATTATGTATGTACTGGCTTATTTTTCTGTTTAATTTATTTTCAGTTGTTGTTTCTTATATTAAGCCTTTGTTCTGTTGTTTTCAAAATATTCTCCATTTTCACAAACTTAAGTAATGTTTCTCTACTTACACTTATAGAATCATTTATACTTCTTTTTTCCTCCTCTACTGTCTGCTGTATTTGGAGTAATCAAGGTTTTTGTGGTAAATATAATCGGTCCACATAAGGCCCACTTGACTTCACTCTCCAGGATGTCTGGCTCAAGATCAGTAACCTATCTGGGTTCTCCGGGTGCTGCATGTGTTGCTCTCAAACTAAGAGCATATGAGCCCAGGTTTGACAAATTATCAGCATGCATACAACATCAAAAATCACATTAATTGTGCAAAAGCATGCTAAATTCAGTATCCCTTGTCAAAAAATACATGCTCATAATTATTTTAAAAGTTTGTATAAATTACCTGGCTTCAGGCTGTGTACAATGTATTAATTTAATATTTTTTTCCATTTACTAGAGTTAATGGTTATTTTTCAATAAAAAAGTGTTTATATCATTGAAAGTTCTGTTATGTTTTGAAGACAAAAGGTGATGATTAATTCAGACAACTGTATGAGTTGTTTTTTTCTAAACTAAAACATCAGTATTCAGATTTTATTGCAGTGTTGGCACTTCAAAGGAAATAATTTCGTTTTGTATTGCCGTTTGGGCACTCGGGCTCAAAAAGTTTCACCATCACTGCCATAGGCCATTAATACAGTTTTCAGTTTTTCCATGTTTTTCTTGAGGAACCTCTGAATATTTTTACTACTCTCAATTTTTTAAGGCAGGTGTTAATCCAGCTGTGTCAAAATAAATCCAGGCTATTTTCCATCTTTTTGCATTCTTTAGTATTGTCTTAATAAGCAGCTGGTCTTCCATGCCTCTTGACTTTTTAAAGTTCCCTTTCTATTGCTTTTTTTTTTTTTTTGACAAGTACGCCTGTGTTAATTTCAACTATATAACATTTATATTTAATACATATTCAGATCAAAATTTCAACAGGGGCAGTATCTGTTCTCGATCATTGCAGAGTGCAGGACATGCTATAATGGGCAAAATTATAGAAAACCAGATTATCAGGAAAAAAAATTAACTGTTAAAGCATTACAACGATGGAATCAATTTCTTCAGGAGGTGGTGAGCGCTCCAGTGCTGAAAGCATTTGAGAGAAAATTGGACAACCATCTGTCAGATCTGCTTTGATTTGATTCCTGTACTGATCTCTTCTTTTACTATTTGTGGACCTATCTCAAGGATCTTCTCATATGACAAAGAGGACTCTTTCTTTCCTATTGTATATTTGCTCAACAGTGAACAACAGACCATCTGTTGGTTTTTAAACAGTAAGGACATGAACATCTGTTTTGTTGCATTTTTTTTTCAAACAGGGATGTAAAGAATACTTTAAAAAAATACTAATTCTTAGAAATTTTCCATCTCTTACCATAATCAGACTTCCTGCCAAGATTTCCCCAGCATCAGTGAGATCTAATTCTTTGTGAAAATGAAATCCCCATTTTTTATTTCCCCCTTTTCTTTGTTTTTCACCTGTTCTTTTGTGCAAGAAACTGCCACATTCTAGGCACCTCCATGTACTTGGTGGGGAATCTTGAACAGAGAAGATGCCCCTTTCTAGAGGAACTGTAATAATTCCATGCAAATCAGTGTTTTTGCCAGAAAAAAAAATAGAATGAAACATCTAAAAAATCCCATGAAATTTCTTGGGTGGGAGTGATGTAGAGGAAAGTCAAGTCATATATTTTGAGTTTCACAGATTTCCCTACAATCCAGAAAGGAAAAGGCAGGAAGGAGGCTTATCTGCTGTTTTCATTTTCTTACCTATGATGAGAAAGAGAAAGATAGGCACATGTTTTGCTAATAGCCTTGCATGAACCTGAGAAAGCCATAAAAACATTTTAGTAATGAGAATTTCTTTTGCATCTCTCATTAAAAGACCAGGAGAGCCCTTGATTAAATGGCCTGGAAAGGGGCGGAGTGAGCATCATTCTGGGAATGTTTTAATGAACCATCAGAGACAAGCTATTGCATTAGATCAACTTTTCAGAACTCTCTCAACATTGTCAATGGAGGGATCACTGCAGAAACAGATGGCAATTTCTGCAGCTTTGGGATAGACTTTAGGCACATATTTGCCATCTGCCTGCACAGCATTTTCTGAAACTTAGCATTTAGGAAAGTTTATGGCTGCAAAGCTTATGTGCATTAGGAGACAGATTACCACATTCTTGCCTTCAATCAAACACTTTTTAAACAATGTTATCAGGAACTCAGACAACCCATTGTAGATGCAAGAGCCGCCCTTTATTGTTTTCCACTTTTTTTGGAAAAAAAATCTCTCCTGTTTTCCTTCAATCCTTCCCTTGTCATTTTGCTGAAGCACAAAATATGCAAAGTACTTCTTTATGGTTTCTTCGTTTAGTGTTTCCTACAGGGTTTTGTGGAAAACTGCATAGAGGTTAATGGAGCTGTAAGTCTTCATGGATGCTGTGGTACTGGTTGTTTCCATACTTTATTCTAATACTGTAGACTCTTTTTCTCCTCATCAAGAGATGAAAGAAAGCTGGCTATAGATGAAAACACTATTCCTATAAAACAAAAACAACATCAGCAACAACAGAAGACAGACAAGAAATATTAGAAACGTCTCCCTGGATAAATCCAAGCTACTCTGGAATGAATAAAGACTGAGTCAAATTCAATTCCTGTTAAACAGGATTTATGTTGTAACTAATGACTGATTTCAGTAGAACTTCCATTCAACTCACACTATAATCCAACCCAAAAATATATTAATATACTGGTTGTAGTGGCTTTGGAATGGACATAAGCACAGAACTAAAGATAGATGAAGCCTTACTCACAGTAAGAGGAACAGACCAAATTGTTCAAATGGGGACCAATAATAAAATTAACATTAGTAGTATTCATAAAAATGTACAAAGACAAACAGGTCACAAATTACACCATCTTGGATATCTATATACAATGCCAGGAATATGGGAAACAAACAAGAAGAACTAGAAATTTTAGTTCAGGAGACTATATATGACTTGATAGAAATAACTGAAACTTGGTGGGATGACTCCCACGACTGGAATAGAGCATTTGAAGGATATAAATTGTTCAAAAAGGACAGAGAAAATAGAAAGGGAGGTGGATTTATAGTATATGTAAAAGAAATATGCATTCCTGCACAGAAATAAAGGAGGACGAGATTGGATGTCCCTTTGAGAGCATCTAAATAAATCTAGTTGGAGCAAAAAACAAAAGGAACTTGATAGTTGGAGTCTACTACCAGCCACCCAATCAAGGAAAGGATGAAACATTTCAAAAACAAATTGAAAGGATTTCGAAAACACACAATGTAGTAGTGAAGGGAGATTTCAAGTATCAAGATATATGTTGGGAGGCAAATTCTGCAAAGAATTTCTTGGAATTCCTTTCAAGAAATTCCTGGCTTGTGTGGCTGAAATTTTTCTCCTACAGAAAGTGGAGAAAGAAACTAGAGGACTAGCTATCCTTGAATTGATTCTAACCAACAGAGGTGACTTGGTGGAGGAAGTGGCAGTAGGAGGAACTCTAGACTTGTAGAATTCTTGATTCCAATGGAAACCAATGAGGTAGCCACACACATATGCTGGATTTTAAGAAAGCCAATTTTAATAATCACAGAACAAGGATGAGTAAGGCGGGAGATCCTAAGAAGAAAAGGAGTTCAAAAAGAGTAGGAGTTTCTTTAAAAAGAAATTCTAAAAGCCCAACTACAAACAATTCCAACAAGAAAAAAAGGTGGGAGGCAGCCAAAAAAGGACAGTGTGTTTTCACAAGAAGCTGAGGGAGGACCTGGAAAAAAAAAATGAACAGGAAGTGGAAAGAAGTCCAGGTCGCAAAGAATGAGTACAGACAAGTTGCAAGGAAATGAAGGTATGGCATAAGGAGACCAAAAGCTGAGAATGAGCTGAGGCTACCTAGAGACACTAAAAGCAATAAAAAAGCATTCTTCAGTTATGTGTGAAGCAAAAGACAAAAGAAATAGTTGCACAGCTACTCAATGGAGATGAAAAAATGATAACAGATGACAAAGAAAAGGCAGAGGTGCTCAATTTCTATTTTAGTTGACTCTTTTCCCAAGGGACAGACTACAAACCTCCAGACAAATGTGAAGTGCAATTGGAGGGGACAGGATTGCAGCTGGAGATTGATAAACAAATAGTCGAGGAATACCTTACCACTTTCAATGAGTTTGGATCTCCAGAGCCTGATGAACTGAATCCGAGAGTTCTGAAGGAGTTGGCTGAAGAACTCTCAGAACTGCTATCCGTTATTTTCTTGAAATAATGGGAAATGGGTGAGGTGCCAGAGGAGGAGGGCTAATATTGTTTTTATCTTCTCAAAGGGGAAAAAAAAGAACCTCGGAACTCCAGGCCAGTCAGCGTGACATGAAAATTCTGGAACAAATTATAAAACAGTCACTATGCAAGCACCTAGAAAAAGTGCAGTAATAGCTAAAAGCCAACATGAATTTGTCAAGAACAAATCCTGCCAGACTAATCTGATCTCATTTTTTGATTGAGTTACTGCCCTTATAGACAGAGGGAATGCTGTAAACATAGTATATATTGACTTTTGCAAATCTTTTGACAAAGTGCCCCATGATATCCCAATTAGTAAGCTAACTAGGTATGGGTTAGTTAGATAAAGGGTCAGGTGGATACACAATTGACTCCAGAAGCATACTCAGAGGGTGATGATTAATGGCTCCTTCTCCAACTGGGAGGAGGTAACAAGCGGGGTACCCCAAAGCTCAGTCCTGGGCCCTGTGCTCTTCAATATTTTTATTTTTGATTTGGATGGCAGTGTGCAGCGATTCTTAATTAAATGTGTGGATGACACAAACTTGGGTGGAATAACTAATACCCTAGAAGACAGAAACAAAATTCAAAATGATCTTCACAGGCTGGAGTATGGGGCTGAAAACAACAGAATGAAATTCAGCAGAGATAAGGGCAAAGTACTGCACCTCAGGGGGAAAAACCCAATTGCACAGTTACAAGATGGGGGATACCTGGCTCAGCAAAACTACAAGTGAGAAGGATCTTGGAATTGTTGTAGATCATAAGCTGAATATGAGCCAACAGTGTGATGAGGCTACAGAAAAGGCAAACGCTATTTTAGGCTGCATTAATAGAAGTATAGTTTCTAGATCCTGTGGGGTGCTAGTTTCCCTCTATTTGGCACTGGTTAGGCCTCACCTTGAATATTGTGTCCCGTTCTGGACACTACATTTCAAGAAGGATGCTAACAAATTGGAACAGCTCAGAGGAGGGTGACAAGGATGATCAGGGGGCTGGAAACCAAGCCCTGTGAGGAAAGACTGAAAGAACTGAGCCTTGAGAACAGAAGACAGAGGGGTGATATAATAGAACTTTTCAAATACTTGAAAGGCTGTCGTATAGAGAAAGGGCAGGATTTGTTCTCGATCAACACAGAGTGCAGGATATGCAACAACAGGCTCAAGTTACAGGAATTTCTATTGGGTATCAGGAAAATTTTTGTTAACTGCTAGAGCAGTAAGACAGTAGAACCAAATACCTCGGGAGGTGGTGAGTGCTCCAACACTGGAGGCATTCAAAGAAACGTAGACAACCACCTGGCAGATATCCTTTGATTTGTATTACTGCATCAACAGGGAGTTGGATTTAACAGCCATATATCCCCCTTCCAACTTTGCTGTTTTATGGTTCTATAATTCTATGCCAGCACAATTTCCCTTGAGCTAGTTGATCTCAGATCTTTTGGTGAAGCCATTGTGGTGACAGAGAACAGTTGGCAGAAGAAGCAAAAAGAGAGTGTTGAAGCATGGTGGGAGCAGGGGAGGGGTTTGGTTGCACCAGATGCAAACTCCTCTCAGCCCATATTTTGCAGCCACTATGCCACTACAATGTTAGGCCATGGCGAGAATACTGTAATCCTAAGTAATTTCCAACATCCCTAAACTGGGAAGAGATTGGATTCAGCATAGTCTCAAGTGGCTTAGTGCCAACTCAGCCATCCTATAGCCATCTTGACTAGTTAGGACTGAAACCAAGGTCTCTGGATCCAATCAGTCTCCAACAGTTGGTTCTTGGAGGATAAGCATACAAGTAGGTTATAAGGAAGATCAGAGCTTAGAAAAATTACTTTTTTGGATTACAGTTCCAAGAATTCCTCAGGGAGCATGGCCACCAATGTTTCATCTATGGCCCACAATAATACAGTAGCATGCAAAGCACTGAACATGTTCAAATAATTTTTGAGGACGCAATATAATTTCTCAAGGAAGTGTCCACACATCTCTAGGTTAAATGTGAAAGGACACTGATAGGTCCTGCCTCCAATATGTAGTGTTTATCAACTAGTGCAGAGTAGAATTAAGTCTTGAGGTATCTGGGAGGTAGACATTGCATCTGTGCAGTGAAACCGTCTGTCACTCCTGGCTATCTTGCTGTATGAGAAGATGTTGAATCCAGGCATTATGGCATTTGATTCCCAAATTCAAATCAAAGGAATACCTTCAGCTGGCAAATAAAGAGGAAACAAACATGTACAGCAAGCTACTGAGAATTTTAGATGCCTTCATCCAGACGGATGTTGCAAAAGCAGTGGTAGGAGGAGGGAGCTGACTTGAAGTTGAAGTCATAGTTTTTCCATAATGGCCTGAAATTTAAATGGAGCAACTACTCTGAACCCTGGGAGCAAGAAAGTCTTCCTGGTTACCTATCAATATGGGCCAGGGGTGCCCAAACACTGAGAAGAGAAATGACTGCACATGCAAATATATCTCAGCAGAGTCCAACCATTTAGAAGGGGGGGAAAGCATTAGAAATAGAGGCCAATGTGGTTAAGTGACAACATAAATAACTGTGTCGGTGATAAGTAGAAAGCTTTTAACAATGTAAGCAATCTGGTAAAAGGGGAAATGGAGGGAACTGTGAAAATAAGTAATAGGAAAGACAGAGCTAGTTGTTTTCATTATGTACCAGATGATTTTTGCCATGACTTGGTAAAAGTGCTAGAAAGAAGGTGGAAAAAAGGAATTAATGTGAATGAGGAAAGTTTCCATAGTCCTGGTGACCTTATGCTACATGTGTAGGAACCACAGATTGGAAAGTTACTTTGTAAGAGTAATTGTCTGCAACTACAAGTCCCAGAAAGGCAGCTGGCCACCATTATAGCTAATTTTCTTAAAGTAATTATTTTTTTCATGGATTTCTTAGAAAAAGTAACAACAATAATAGAATACTATATTTCTGAGGGTGTGATTCTCTTTTTAAAACAAGGTTTGTGCCTTAATACAGAAAAACAGGTGGATTCTTTAATGCTATTGTGCTGTCAAATTTAGACTGCAAAAATGGGAGGGAGGGTCACATGTAGTCCACAGCTGCTTTAAGACTACATGTTGCAGCTTGGCGCCCCTACTAAGTCAGACTACGCATTCTACCATGCTCAGCCATACCCATCAGTGGCCTCTTGGATCAGGATAATGGGAACTGCAATCCAGCATAGCCGGACAGTGCCATTTTAGGAAGTGCTGCCGTGGGGAATGATGTGCTCAGTATCTCTTTTGTGATCTCTCCTTTTGCTTGTTCATTGTTTTTGAAATTTCATTTTACTTTAATAAATTTAAACAAATCAATAATTTCAGTTATTCAAATTATTCATTTGTTTGTCTTTTTATTAGATTTTTATACCACTCTATGCAGTTTAGAAACACAAACATAAGATACAAACCCCAGGTCCCCCCAACCCATTGATAGACCCCAAAACAATCTCCCCCCACAAAAAAGCTGGAATCCTTGGTGGTGACAGCAGGCAGTAAACAAAATCAAAATTATAACAAAGATATAACATGATGTCTTCGCGAAGGCTTTCACGACCGGGATCTAATGGTTGTTGTGGGTTTTTCGGGCTCTTGGCTGTGTTCTGAAGGTTGTTCTTCCTGACTGGCGAAACGAGAGCCCGAAAAACCCACAACAAACATAACATGACGTTGAGCGAAGGAGATCCCTAAAGATGTATCAGAAAACCTGTGTTTCTACTAGCTTTCAATAATTCAAGCAATTTAGTATTCAAGTATTTTTTAAAGAAACCTTGAAGAAAATGCCACTTTAAAATGTTAAAATTTAGTGTGATGATTCAACTCACTTTCAGAAAAGGAGTCAGTCAGCATTACCTGATGGCTAGAAACTGGTTCAGGATGGGTTATCTGATAATGAGGTACTTTGTGTCTTGTCTCAGTGGAAGGGCAAAGATAAACTGGAAAGAAACAGCAATAATGCTTGACATTTATATTACACTTTTCCTGAATGTCCAAAATCTCCCAAATATATTTATACAATATTTATTTATATCAGAATATTCCTGTCCTACTTTACTGGCCAATTTTGCTGAGTGGCTGAAAATAATATTCATCCAAATAGGAAGTCAGATATATTTTTTAAAATGCACCACAAAGTTTTACAGTGCTATGTGGTTCTGTCCTTATCTTTTGTTCTATTTATATAATTCCATGTAAAACATCATTACATACCATGCATGCTAATTAAAATAATATTTTTAAAGTATAATAAAAATCAGCACAAACAGAATGAACAGGTCTAAAGCAAAGAGAAACAAAGAAAGAATTAATACTGCATTTGTGTGTCAAGGTTTGAAAATTTGTATGTAATAGCGTTAAGAAATAGTTAAGGGGGCACAGGAAAAGTTGCCCTGAAAATGAAAGTACAGTGGTGCCTCGCTTGACAATGTTAATTCGTTCCAGCAAAATTGCTGTAGCGCGAAATCGTCAAATGAAATAAAAAACCCATTGAAACCGTTCAATGCGTTCCAATGGGCTGAAGACCTGCTCGTCCAGTGAAGATCCTCCATACGGTGGCCATTTTTGGTGCCTGTAATGCGAGGAATTCGATCATAACACAGCGGGGAGCCATTTTCTTCAGCTGGTGGCCATTTTGAAACCCGACAATCAGCTGTTTGCTGATCGTCGTAAGGTGAAAAGTCGGTTCCCGAAGCAGGGAACCGATCATCGCTAAGCGAAAAAAACCCATCTAAACATTGTGAAGTGATTGCAAAAGCGATCGCAAAAGCGATCGCAAAAACTTCAACGTTAAGCGGATTCATCATAGAGCGGGGTAATCGGCCAGCGGGGCACGGCTGTATATTTAAAAATGTGACTTGAATAGTTTACTGTAATCATGGAAAAACAATTTTTATATCTACCAAAACTATTAGCCAGCTCTGAATGAGCAAGGTCAATGAATTATAAACAATCCTGGACCTGAATGATGTTTTGGTTATGACTTGTGAAAACAGAAATGATGTTTGTATGCCTATGTAGCGTTCTCCCTACTATGTTAAATAGTCATGCATTATTCATATTGCAGGCTAATGTTGCTGAGAGGCGGAGCCAAGGGATATGTAAAAGAGGTGGAGTCAGAGAGTCAGTGAGAGTGGAGAAGGAGATAAAGTGTTGTATTTGGGAGATCTGAGGTGTGATTAAAGAGTGAATAAGAACTGTTATGACAAATAGAAGGTTGAGATTGATGATAATAGAAGTTACCTATGATTAATAATCAAACATCTGTAATCAATAAACAAGTTTTATTTAAAAGACAGTGAAGTTTGGACCTGCATCTTCATCCTTCCATAATTAATATTGATTTAGTGATCAACTGGTGGCAGTGGGTAGAAAGGAGTATTAGTTTGCCTTCATGTACTCTGTGTTTGGAGAATTAGGCAAGGGGCACGAGGGGCAAACGCCACAGCCTGATAATAAGCACTCTTGGTAGTTCCAATGCCTTTCTACTGCAGCATTTGATTTTCCTGGATTCTGGGATATTGAGTTTTTTATGCTTCATTTTTAAAATGCTGTTCATATAAGTTCTGCAAAAATTATTAGTCAAGACAATAATCTTTATCAGTATAATGACACCATGCTGGGTTGTACATTACAAACTGTTAGAGTTATATATAACAACAATAAAATTTCCCATTGCAGAAAGGATTCTTGCTTTTTAACTCATTTGGGCTTCTGAGACCTGCAGAAAAGGCTTGCTCATAGTTAGGGGAAAAGGAAAACTATCGGTAAGGATTATAAATACACGGAATTATAAATTCATTCAGTCATTCATCTCATAATCAGAAATCCATGCCATTTTGGTCACCAGACATCAAAGAATAGCAATCACCATAGATTTTCCTCCATTGATTCAAACTGGCACAAGGCTGGCTTGGCAGTATGAGAGCTTAGAGTAATTTTTATCTGTGTGTTATTAATATGAGATGCTAAGAAAGTCATTTTCTTCAATATATTTTTACTTCTAACAACTTTAATATTTTTTCACACATTTTAAGTAAGGCTAAAAGATTATTATGCTTTTTGCATTTTTAGAATGTAGCTTAAAACATTCTGTGTTATGTGCAGTCAAGTCAGAATTAACTTATAGCAACTCCAATAGGAATTCCAGTGTAAGTGAGATAGTTAAGGAATAGTTTTACCAGCTCCATTTCCTCAATGAGTTTCCGTGGCTGAACCTGGTTTTGAACCAGGCTCTCCTGAGCCCTAGTCTGTCAGTCTATCCACTACACCAGGGGTCCGCAATCCCCAGTCTGCAACCCAGCAGCGGTCTGCGGCCTCGGCCAGACCAGGCTGCGGACACAGATCTCTTCCCTCCCCCGCAAGCACTCCCCTGGAGAGTGCGCCTTACGCATGTGCAGGAGTGTGACATGCCCCTTGCCCCCTGCGAGCATGACATGCCCTCTGCGAGAGTGATTCCCCTCCACACGAGTGTGCCACACACACCCAGCCAGTCTGTGGTTGGGAAAAGTTTAGGGACCACTGCACTACCCCACACTGGGTATCATCAAAATATACTTAAGGAACATTAAAAATCAGCCAAGCTTTTGGCCCAAACAATAACCAAAAATGAAAGATATTCCTTGCCCGGCGGAATTCCCTTAACCAGGAGATGACAAGAACCTCCAAGGGGAAGGAATTCTCTAGTCTGATTGCAATGAATCATGAATGGCCCTTCAGAGCCATTCAGGATTCCATCATATGCACTTCTGATATCTGTGATCTCTGCTGATGATCTGAATGCCCTGGCTGCTAGTAGGTAAGCAGAACCATGTATCTCAGTATCAGAACTGATTCTTTAATTCTGGATTTGGAACCAACCTGGAAGCTGAATGCAATTGTTGTAACAAGGAAGTTGCCTGTGTTTCCCAATAACCCTTTTCCAGTCTGGCTGCAAATATGCACAACTCTTCAAAACATCCCTTTGGTAAATTTTATGCCAACTTTTAAGGTACATCACCATTATAATTTCATTATTGTAGATGCTGGAGGGGGAGGAATGAACCAGTGCTGAGCCAAAGAAATAGTGGTTTCCCTATGGCCTGTAAATAGTGAATACACGGAGACATCCCTGGAGCAGCTAATTTCCTGCACTTAATTACTGTGCTGAATCTGTTTCAGAGTCAAGGGGGAAGAGACAGAGATCCTAAGACACATGGAAAAAGTAATGAGCTAAACAGGAAAATTTGCAACAGTCTTCAGTGAAGTATCAGAACTGATAAAGCCTTGAACCTGTCTGGAAATGCTCTAAGTTTTCTTGATGGTCTAATTTTCTAGATGATGCACTTCAGCATGACCAGCTTCATTGTGGTTATCCCACCCCCCCTGCTGCTACCTAAATACTGCTGAATGGCCCTACATCTGCCATAACTTAGAGGACTTTACCATGTGCACTCAGAGCAGCAAAATGGCACAGTTAGATTTCTCCACTCCTCGCTCCAGTTCAGTTCAGGAGGTGTCACCTGCTTTGCTGCCTCTCTGTTGGAGAAGGAAGAAGCTCTATTGCTTTCCTGATTACCCTTTTTTTTTTTTTGCATGCATCTTAAACAGGAGGAAAAGATCTGTATATGTGTTTGTGCACATGTTTTTTTGTGTTTTTTTTAACTGTGCTAAATGCAAATCAAGACTGCTTTTTCCCTACTAAAAAGGCAGATTCAGAAAGAGAGCAGCTATAATTCCTGTAATTTAGCATCTGGTGCTTTTTTTCAACATTGCTTTGTGTATTACAATAGGGATGAGTCAAAACTACTTACCTCTCATTGTGTGCGCAGTTTTGTCGGTGTCAAAACAATATTCATGTTATTTCAATGCTCTTCTTGCTTCATTTTAATTTTCTTTTTTTCTTCTTCTTTGTTGTCTCTGTCCTCTGTTTCATTTGCCCCAACTGCTGCTTTAACACTACTGGCTGTAGAAAGCAACATGATTTGTGTCAATGATGTCAGAATGATAGCTCAGATGGAATGATGTCATAAATGCCTCAAACCTAATCATATTAGTTGTCACACATATAAAAGAAAGAAGAAGCAGCTTGACGGATAGTATGGGATGCCAAGAACAGGGAAACCATGCTAACCATTTCCTTCTCCAGTCCTGGGATTGCTCCCTTACCCACTCTTTCCTGGGTTCCTGTGTGGGTTCTCGCTTCTTCTGTAAGTGTGGGCTCCTTAGGGGAGTTGTCAGCCAGCAACATGTCTCCAAAGTCCACTGGGAAGCTCACTGTATGGAATTCCATGATGTCCGGGGGGGGGAGTGAGACTGTCCGCTGATATAGGTGCATATGCCACAGCCCCCATCCTCACAGGCACATTTTTCTTTCTTGCTTTTCTGGAGGGATAATATCAGTTTTAATAAAAATCAACTGTTTTATCCATGATAACTTGCTTGTCTCAGTATAGTACTGTGGTTTCATTTTCTAAAACTAGAGGTGACTGGAATTTATAAAACAGAGCAAAAGATGTCCGTAATCCATAAGATTTAACCAACTTCTGAAAATCATCTTTGCAGCTTGGCTGTGCTTGCATGTGAAATCTTTGATGGTAGCTTCGAGCAGACAGATAAGGCAGGATGAAATTTTTTTTCTTCAGATTCTTGACAATCTACAGTGGTGCCTCGACTTATAGATGTCCCGACTAATGAAAATTTTGACTTACGAAAAGCTCCGGCCACAAAAATTTGCTTTGACTTGCGGCTGGAGCTTTGAGGTACGAAAGAAAAAAGGCAGGGCAAAAGGGCGGGAAATTCAAGCCATTGGTGGCGAAGAGACTGCTTCTTCGCCCCAACGGTTAGGAAAAGAGAGGCTCAGATAAGGAGGGGAGTCTCTTTGCGCAGTAGTTAAACTGCTGTACTACAGGTAAAACTATGCTCATGACCCAGGGTTCAGTCCCAGGTAGCTGGCTCAAGGTTGATTCAGCCTTCTATCCTTCTGAGGTCAGTAAAATGAGTACCCAGCTCACTGGGGGCAGGGCAATGTGTAGCCTGCATAATTAACTTGTAAACCGCCCAGAGAGTGCTTGAAGCACTATGGGGCGGTATATAAGCAGCACACTTTGCTTTGCTTTCAGGGCATGGAAGGTGCCTTCATTCCTCTATATGCCCTATCTCCCCTGGTCCTGTTCCATGTGCCCTGTCCTCTGATTAGGAGATGTCATTTGAGCCGTTATGTAGGAGTTGTCAGGTCCTGATAATGATACATGGAGATTGTCTTGATGTTGGTAGGTATGGCTCATGATCCTAGTTGGGGATGCTACCTCACCCTCAAACTTCAGGGAGAGTCATCTCCCCCTCCCTTTACTCTGCTCACAAGTCAGCTATACTTTCCAGTAGAGTCTGAGACAGTCTGCTTTACAAAGAGAGAAGGCTGTTCAGATAATGCATTGCCCTTCTCAAGCTGAAACCCCTAAGTAAGCAAGAAATTCAATTGCAGGCCTCGTCTTCACTTTTCCGATGCAGCTGAAGTGGATCTTCCTGCAATAGCAAGACCTTTACTGATGGATGATCAGTGGCTGGAAAGATTTGACTGACAATACATCCCAAATGCCTCTCTGCTCTGCCTCATTGATATCAAGTGGCACCAGCGGCAGCGCACTCAGACACTGAAATGTTCACTCATTAGGTAGAGGATCAAAGCCTGCTAAATTGTCCTAAATATAGACAGATTAACACAAATTCTTTAGCAGATCAAGGCAAGTAACCAGATTAGCTTGAAAGCTTTTACAATTGTTCTGTTCCAGTCTAGCTTTCCAGATTGTTGGAGGAAAAAAAGAGAAAGACACACCATAATTACTGCATTATCTGCGCTCTTCTAGGGAATTATTACCTCCATTTCCTTTTAAACCTTAAGGTGCACACCTTTAAATCTTAAAGGAGTGAGCATGCCACTATAGAATCTAATCCAATACAACAAAGGATGCTACTGACATGTAAAAATTTGTTACAAATATGTACTGGTAGGTCAGTACCGCTCAGAGTGGTACTGACCTACCAGATGGGCGGGATATAAATCAAATAAATAAATAAATAAAATAAATAAATAAATACAGAATGGTGATGAAGACAACAACAGTGATGTGCCATCAACTTAATTCCAACTTTGCAGGGTCTTCTGGATATTGAGTACTCAGAAGTGGCTTAATGTTTCCTCCCTATGGACTCTAGGACTTTGCAGTCTGCCAAAGGCCACATTGGCTGAATCTTATTGCAGGAGGCACAGTGCGGAATTGATCTCCCAACCTCCCACTCCACAGTCAGACGCTGAATACACTGAGCTATCCAGACAGCACTTTATATATGATAACTCTGTTATAAATACATGATTGAGAGCATCCCAGTTTGATAAACATGGCCATTCACAGCTGAGTGTCATCTGTTATCAACACAATCTCATGTTTTGGCAGAAGTAGGAATGTTTGAAGAATTAATTAGGGCAAAATTCTGAAGCAAGAGTAGCTCCTCTGTATCTCCTGGCCCACTATGTATGTAAATCAGTATATAGATCTCCTTTCTAATCTGAATTTAATGGCAACCATTCTTTTTCCCCATACAGTACCCCTGCAAGCTACATGGCATCACTCCTCACTGCTTCCTCAGGCATTTTTGGTCCCTTTTTCAATATGTGGACAGTGTCTCTAACGCTGTGAAAGGGTTATTACCATAAAAAGGAGGAAGAGGGGAAATATATTTTAAGGCATCTATTAAAGAGCCTCGTGGCACAGTGGTTAAAACCGCTGTTCTGCAGCCAAAACCATGCTCACGACATGGGGTTCAATCCCAGATAGCCAGCTCAAGGTTGACTCAGCCTTCTATCCTTCCGAGGTCAGTAAAATGAGTACCCATTTTACTGTTTTTTTTAAAAAAAAATCTTGCCATTAAATGCCCAATCTAAAGGAAATTGTGCATTGTGTGTCCTTAATCAAGGACATTTAGTTAACAGTGCTTTCAGAGGTCTCTGATATACTGCTTCCAAACTATGCGATCAGGTGCCACTTGGTGATGTTTAGAAACAGGTTTACTGTATCAGATGCCTCTGTGTAGGCATCCTTCTGTCTCAAGAGACTAAGGTTAATGGGCTCTGAATAGACGTCTTGGAACAGTGTCTAGTGTGGCTGAGGAGGCCAATTCGAGAGTGACAATCCCTTCCACACTGAAGACAAATACAATCTGTCTCCTGTCCAGCTCCCTGATTTTGTTGGTTCGGGACTGCCTCATTGCTTCGGCCTGCTGTACAAGTGTCTCTTCAAATTGGGAGAGGCCGTGATGCAACGTTTGCCTCCAGGCTGAACACTCAGATGTCAAGGTTTCCCATCTGTTGAGGTCCATTCCTAAGGCCTTCAGATCCCGCTCGTAGATGTCCTTGTATCACAGCTGGGGTCACCCTCTGCTTTTTAAAAAGCAACTAAAAACACTGATGTTCCAGCAGGCCTTCTCCTCAATCAACTCTTGACCTCCCCTTCCTCTCCTCTCCCACTATTTGTCCTATTTTGTTGAAAGTTTTGTCTTTACGTAGTATTGTTTTTATATATATTGCTAGTTGTTTCTTGAAAGCCACCTAGAGTGGTCTTAACCGACTAGATAGGCGGGATATAAATAAAATAAATAAATAAATAATTCTCCATAAAGGGGATCTTTCGGAATTCAACCTTCAGCCATTCTCACAACATGCCCGAGCCAACGTAGCCGTCACTGTTTCAGTAATGTATACATGCTAAAAATTCCAGCTCATTCCAGGACTACTCTATTTGGAACTTTGTACTGCCAGGTGATACCAAAAATGTGTCGGAGGCAATGCATATGGAAAGTGTTCAGCTTCCTCTCCTGTTGTGCTCGAACGGTCCAGGACTCACTGCAGTACAGGAGTGTACTCAGGACACAGGCTCTATAGACCTGGATCTTGGTATATGTCGTCAGCTTCTTATTCAGACATACTCTCTTTGTTAGTCTAGAGAACATGGTAGCTGCTTTGCCAATGCATTTATCCAACTCAACATCTAGGGAAAGAGTGTCAGAGATGGATGAGCCGAGGTACACAAAGTCATGAACAACCTCCAATTCTTGCATGGAGATGGTAATAGAGGGAGGTGAGTCCACACCCTGGCCCATAACTTGTGTTTCCTTCAGGTTGATTGTTAGTCCAAAGTCTTGGCAGGCCTAGGTAAAACGATTCATGAGTTGTTGGAGGTCTTCAGCAGAGTGGGCAACAGCAGCTGCATCATTGGTGAAGAGGAAGTCCCACATGCATTTCATTTGGACGTTGGTCCTCGCTCTCAATCTGGAGAGATTAAAGAGCTTTCCATCTGATCTAGTCCAGAGATAGACACCTTCTGTTGCAGTTCCAAAGGCCTGCTTCAACATGACAGCAAAAAAGATCCCAAACAGAGTCAGCGCAAGGACTCAGCCCTGTTTCACTCCACTTCGAATGTCAAAGGGATCTGGTGTTGAGCCATAAAAACTACAATGCCCTTCATTTCCTCATGAAAGGACCTGATAATGTTAAGGAGTCAAGATGGACATCCAATCTTGGGAAGTGTTTTAAAAAGGCCATCCATGCAAACCAAATCAAAGGCCTTTGTAAGATCTATGAAGGGCACAAGGAGTGGCTGTTGTTGTTTCCTACACTTCTGCAACTGTCTGAGGGAGAATACCATGTCGGTGGTGGATCTATTAACTCCAAATCCACACTGTGATTCTGGATAGACTGTCTGCAAGCACCCGGAGTCTCTTCAGCACAAGATGGGCAAGCAGCTTCCCTACAATATTGAAAAGAGAGATGCCATGGTAGTTATTGCAGTCACCCCTGTCTCCTTTGTTCTTATACAATGTGACAATGTTTGCATCCTTCATGTCCTGTGGTACTCCACCTTCTCTCCAGCAAAGACAAAAGACTTCATACAGCTCAGTGGTGATG